GTGGGTGGCGGGGGAGCTGAGTTTCTGCTTCTGAGTTTCTACTCTTTTTAGGGGAAATATTCTGCCTTTTTAATATTTCCTAGGATATTTCAATTTTCTAGGAGAGGAGTGAGTTTTAACTTCCAACAATCGAAATTGTTGAAATGCTACAGGGGGTTGTGCAATGGAGTGAGCTCTGTGCGTTTTGCTTTTCTAAGGTGGTCCTAAAGGCAAGGGTGGGCTTCAAAAATTGTTAGCAACAGGTCCTCTGCCTGGTTGCTGGGTGGGTGTGGCCATGTTGGGTATGGTCTAGTCACCTTCCTGAACCACGATTGGGGGGGGGCGCGTTTTCACCCTCCCTGGGCTCCGGAGGCTTTTATCGAGCTTCCGGAAAGGCGAAAGCGGCCTCCCTGGGTTCCGGAGGCTCCGGAGCCAGAAACAGGCCCATTTCTGGCCTTCCCAAACTTCTTGCCTAAAGGTCATGTGCAATTCTTAGAATTTGGGGTGGAGTGGGATGTCAATTTTAATCCCATCGCTGGAGGTGAAGGTGTTTTGTTTGTGAATAGGTTGGCTCAGTCTTTTTTAATGGGCACAAAATATCCATCTCTAAAGACTTCGGGCATCTACTGGAGGCTGTTAAGAAAGACTGGGGGCTGCTTTCTGCCTTTAAGAACACGTTTCTCCATTTCTCCTTTGGGGAAATATAGCATTCTACCTCCTTCAATATTCCCCAAAATATTTCATTCTCCAGAAGGTGTGGGGTCTTCCCACATTATGATAGACCCTCCCTCAAAGGGAACTTACAACCCAGGGTTCCAAGCGTCTAAATCAGGTGGGGAGGGGGAGTAGAACTCCTTAGCATCAGAGCGTATTAATAATAATAATATAGGAAATACTCTAAATGCTCTGATGGTCATTTCGAAAAATCCTTTCTTCGTGAGCACCTAGAAGCCCAGAGGAACATACGGGCCAAATTTCAAGTTTGTAGGCTTTACAGTTCTAGAGATTTTGTGATGATGCTGAATGGTATTTCACTTTTATATATATAGATTGATTAAAAATTGAAGGATGATGTGCTGATATTGATATGTATAATAATGATTAAATGTCAAGTTTGTAGGCTGTATAGTTCTGGAAATTTTGTGATGATGTGTGAGTGGTATTTTGCTTTTATATAGAGAGAGAGAGGAAGAAGGAGAAGATATAGATGATATATCTCTATATATGTATATATAGATGAATAGATGGATGGATGGACAACCTACAAGGTTCTTCCAACTCTTTTATTATTATTCTATATTTTTCTATTTTATGCCACTTATTCACTGTGGGTATTGTCCACCTTCCACTGACCCTGAGATATTCTTCCTACAATAGAAACATCTCAGCCAGGGAGCTTAAATCACACCTTGCTTTGAGAAATATAGAATTTTTCCGTCCATGTGGACCATCCCTAGGTCTAGAACTCATGGAGAAAAATTTGCCTTACTGTAGATTACAACCATTCTTTTAGTGGCCATTTGAAGTTACTGCGGCATTGGGAAAAAAATGACTCATGAACATTTTTCACAATTATAATCATTGCAGCACCTCCAGGGCCACATGACCAGAATTGAATAATGGAATTGGAAGGGACCTTGGAGGTCTTCTAGTCCAGTGGTTGCCAACCAGTGGGCCGCGGACCACTGGTGATCCTTGAGAAAAATTGGTGGTCCACAGAGAAAGGTCCCCCCCCCCCAAAGCAATTAATCCAGGCTGCGCGGAAACACAAGGCTGCGCCGGCCACATGGCCAGCGGGAACCCAAGGCTTGCATCGCTTGCATTGCGCACAACACCAGGTAGTGAGGGGAGGGGGGAAAGGGGGGGGAACTTGCCCCACTCACCCCATGCGCCTGGCCTGGCCACCGGGCTGCTTCTTTCCGCTTCTGCTTTTGGCTGCACGCAAGAAAAACAGCAAAAGTCTCTCTTTCTCTCCCCCAAACTCTGCCAGAAATGGGTCTTTGGGACCCTGCAAGGCCTCCTGCTCCAAGAGGCTGCGTTGGCGAAGACTCATTTCTGGAGGAGTTTGAGGGAGGGGGGGAGAAAGAAAGACTTTTGCTGCTTTCCTTACACGAAGCTAAAAGTCTCTCTCTCTCTCTCTCTCTCTCTCTCTCTCTCTTTCTCTCTTTCTCTCTCTCCCTCCCTCCCTCCCTGAGAACGGAGTTGGATACAATATCTTGCGATCCCAAATAAAGAATGATCGATTGGTAGGAAAACAGGGTGGGGAATTTTCCTACAGACTTTTGGGGGGATTTTCCCAGGGTCTCTGCAGAAGCAGCAGAGACCCTGGGAAAATCCTCAAAAAAGTCTGCAGAATGTACAAAGGGCCAGTCCTGTAACTACTGCAACTCTGGAATATGGGACCAACTTTCCCATCAACGTCAGCAAGCCACCGTCAGTCAAAATTCATATTAGTGGTCCGCAGGATTTAAAATGATGAGTTTGGTGGTCCCTGAGGTCCAAAAGGTTGGAGACCCCTGTTCTAGTTCAACCTCCTGATCAAGCCTATCTATAAATTCTTATCCCCTCTCTTCTTGAAAACTTCCGGTGCACCCAAAAACTTCTCGAGGCAACTTCTGTTCCACTGATGAATCAAAACTCAGATGTTTGACAGTTGACTCATCTTTATGACGGTTGCGGGATCACGCGATCACGTTTTGTGACCCTCTGATAAGCAAATGCAATGGGGAAGCTTTAACCTACCATGTTACTAACTTAAAAAAACCCTGCAGTGATTCACTTAACAACGTGGCAAGAAAGTATCGCAAAATGGGGCACAAGTCACTTAACAACTGTCTTGCTTAGCGACGGAAATTTTTTGGCTCAATTGGGGCCATAGGTCAAGGACTAACTTATATCCGTTCCTGTGAAAACTTGCAAAGAGTTGACCTTCTCTATGATCTCTAGCTTAGCAGGTCTCCAAAGTCGAATTTCTCGCATAAATTTTCTGCCAGCCATTCTGTCTCCTTTTCACTTCTTGGTAATTTATAATTAAAAAATCTCGGCTACTCATTCATCGGAGCCGCTTTGGAGGGTCCTGCAAATCAGGCTATAAAAGTCCAATAAGCTGTAAAACCCATCAACAGGAAGTTAAACTTTTATCATAGGAATAAAAAATAGATACCGAAACATTAAGGGAAATTTAAAAAGAATCTCACTTTTTTCAAAAAAAAAAAAAAAGATGAGGAATTTTAAAAAGAGGCTTTTCCAGACAGAAAATAACCGTAAAGTGGGGGTTGGTGATTAAAAAGCCACTCATTTTCTACTTGCCTAATTTGGAAGATGGGGTAACGCCAGTGTTTGGCAATATTCTGCAGGTAGTCCTTGACTTACAACAGTTTGTTTAGTGACCGTTCAAGGTTACAAAGGTACTGAAGAAAAGGGAGTTTTTACCCATTCTCACACTTACAACTGTTGCAGCATCAGGGGTGGGGCTGCTACCGGTGTCCAGCCCAAAATTGACATATGCGTAGCCATTTTATTTAGCCTTATTATATATTCCTTTTCTTTCTTTCTCTTTGTTGGTTATGTGGGGGAAGAGTTTCGAGCTCGCCACATTCCTAAGGTGGGAGGAGTGGAGATAGAGAGAGTTGTTTAGGCTAGGTAGTTCTTCTTCCCGTGGGAACAAACGCTCACCTGCTGAGGCCTGGAGGTGGAGATTGATGACCCCAGAAACATTGATTTACTTCTATTGGGGAATGTGACTTTTGGGGGTTGTTTCTAACTTCCAATATTATGTGGTGTAATTCTGGGTTGTGTCGGATCCGGAATCACAACAGACTTTGCCAATTTGATGCTTTCCTAAATAAAAGAAATTGTTTTGGAAGATGGACTTTGCTCTTTTCTTTTTAAATGGATTTCATCACTTGGAAACCTGACAACCAGTTCACCCCAGTTTGGGAGAACCCGTAACTAGTTTTCTGGCCGGTTTGGCAAACTGGCAAATCCCACACCTGGCTGGCCCCGCCCATCCCACCCCTCCCACGGGTCCCCACGTGGCCCGTTTGGATGCCAGGTAAGTGCAGACCGTTTTGGCTCTCCCGGAGGCTCGAGGAAAGCCTCCGGAGCCTGGGGAGGGCGAAAAACGGGCCTCCCGGAAGTTCCGGAAGGGCAGAAACGGGCCTGTTTCCAGCTTCCGGAGGGCCTCCGGAGCACAGGGAGGCTGTTTTTGCCCTCTCAGAGGCTCGGGGAAAGCCTCGGAGCCCGGGAGGAGCAAACCCCCCACCCCCGCCGTGGGACAGGAGGCCAACTAAGCCACGTCCGCTATGGCCATCCAGCACCCGGGCAAAGAACCCGTTGTTGATGGTTTTGAACCCCTGTGCAGTATCTCCCATGGCCACTTGATCAAAATTTGGGTGCGTGACCACTGACTCATATTTATGATGGCTGCAACTTCTGGGGGGAGGGGGTGTCACGTGATCTCTTTTTGCGACCTTCCGACAAGCAGAGTCAACAGGGAAGCCAGTTTCGCTTTGCAACCGTGTTGTAAGCTTAACTGCAGTGATTCGCCTAACAATTGTGTGTGAAGAAAGGTTGTAAAACGGGGCGAAACTCACTCAACAACCGTCTCACTTAAAAACTGGGGGAGGAATATTATACAGTCTGGAAAAAATGGCACAGCTAGTTGGATAGTAGGACAGTAGGAACAATACATAAATAAATAAATGTGAATGTATGTATGTATGTATGTATGTATGTATGTATGTACGTACATATTTAGTAGAAACTCAATGTCACAATGCTGCAAAGATTGTCTTTGTATTGTTTTGTTGTGTTGTTTTTGTATTTAGGTTGTTTTTAACTGTGTAAAATTCAATACAAAATGAATTTTAAAAAAGAAAAGAAATTGGGGACTCAATTGAGGTCACAAAGTCAAGAAGGACCGCTAGGAGAAATTGGGGAAACTGAAGAGAAAGGGGAAGCAAAGTTGAGGTTAAAAACGACGTGCTATTTTCTTAAATCCTTTCTTTCTTCTTCTGCAGGTTTCGTGGTGGGTCAGGCGGGATTGTACCAATCGCTGGTGATGTTTCTGGTGGCCTATTTCATCATCGGAATGACAGTCCTGTCGGTGTGCGCGATCTCCACCAACGGGGCTCTGGATGCCGGGGGAGCCTATTGTATCCTTTCTGTGCAAAGCCCCAAAACTGTTCGAAACCACTCACTCCTTGAGAGACCAACCTCTCCCAATCTCAGCACCTCCAGCACAGGGGCTGCCGGATCCTGAAAATGAGAAAAAATATGATTTAGGGCAGGGGTGTCAAACTCAAGGCTTTAGATCCAGGGGTGGGATTTGAACATCCCAGCAACCGGTTCATTGCCCAGTTGCTTTTTTGGGGGGGAGGGGCGTGGCCGACTGGGAGTTCTGGGAGGGGCATTTTTTGTCCTCCCCGGACTCAGGAGGCTTCCCTCAGGCCTCTGGGAGGGTGAAAATGGCCTCCCCCAGGCTTTGGAGACCCTCCGGAAGCCGGAAACAGGCCCGTTTGGCAACTTCCGGAAGGCTCTCCCAGAGCCTCCACGTGGATCCTGCACTTACCGGCATCAAAAATGGACCGCGTGGAGACTCCTGGGAGGGGACAGGTGAGGTGGGCAGGGCCAGCCGGTCGGTTCAACAACCAGTTCGTCAAACCGGATGACGGAGAATCTGCACAGACAAAGGTTGGAATTCTGATCTGACAGGGATGGGGCACCCCAATTCTCCCTTTCCTGGTCTCCCCAAGGTAGCAACACTCTTTGGTCCTTGACCCGCTTGGCACAGACATGATCAGCCGGGCGTTGGGCCCCGAATTCGGTGGAAGCATCGGCCTCATGTTCTTCTTTGCCAATGTTTGCGGCAGCGCCCTCTACATCTTGGGCCTGGTGGAAGCCGTGGTAGATGACTTTGGCACCCCGGCAGGTGAGAAAGGCTCAGCTGAGGCAGCCCTTTACGTGTTTCCTGATGAACACATCTGATGAAAAGGTCTTGAGTTTTCAGCGGCGCCTGCCATTTTAGAGTAGAATAGAATAATAGAGTTGGAAGGGACCTTGGAGGTCTTCTAGTCCAACCCCCTGCCTAGGCAGGAAACCCTACACCGCTTCAGACAAATGGTTATCCAACGTATTTTTTAAAAAAACTTCCAGTGTTGGAGCATTCACAACTTCTGGAGGCAAGTTGTTCCACTGGTTAATTGTTCTAACTGTCAGGAAATTTCTCCTTAGTTCTAAGTCGCTTCTCTCCTTGATCAGTTTCCACCCGTTGCTTCTTGTCCTGCCTTCTGGTGCTTTGGAGAATAGCTCGGACCCCCTCTTGTGTATGGCAGCCCCTGAGATATTGGAAGACTGCTATCATGCCTCCCCTAGTCCTTCTTTTCATTAGACTAGACTAGACATACCTAGTTCCAGCAACCGTTCTTCATATGTTTTAGCCTCCTGTCCCCTAATCATTTTCATTACACACATTTAAAGCAGAAACAACCGTGGGAAACTTATGAGAACTTCTGCCTTTTCATCCAATTTGTTCCTTGAAAAGGTGCCATCAAATGGTAGGCCGTCTATTGTTGATTGATAATATGAGTTATTATGTAATATAACTATAATGGCGTCTAGGAAACGGATGCACAAAAAAAAGTGGCAAACCAACCGATACACTGCTTGTAAATCTATGAAGGAGGAGGATGTTTTTATGTTTTATGTTGTATGTTTTATGTGGTTTTGTTTGTTGTTAAAATCAACAAAACTTTTTTTTTTAAAAAAATGGTTTGCCGTCACAAACGAACGTGGATGGCTCCCTTCCAAATTCCCGGAATCGAGAGATTTGTAAGAACATTGAAAGAAAAAGGCAGGACCAGTGGGTATGTCTAGACCCAAGGGGTCTGCAAGCTTGTCAACTTTAAGACTTGTAGACTTCAACTCCCCAAATTCTGGGATTTGAAGCCCACAAAGTCTTAAAAGGCTGGCTGAGGAATTCTGGCTGTTCGAGTCCACAAGTCTTAAAAGTTGAGAAATTTGGAGACCTTCTAGTCTAATGAAGAGAAGGACTAAGGATGACATGATAGCGATCTTCCAATATCGGAGGGGCTGCCACTAAGAGGGGCTCAATCCTCTTGGTAGCAGCCCCTCCAAACCATGGCAAGAAGCAATGGCTGGAAACTCATAAGGAGAGAAGCAACCTAGAACTAAGGACAAATGTCCTGATAGTCAGTACAATTTATTGGCGGAAGGACTTGCCTCTAGAAGTTGTGGGTGCTCTAATACTGGAGGTTTTTAAGAAACCAAAACAACTGTTCTTCCAAAATAGTGTAGGATCTTCTCCTTGGGGGCATTCTGGTGGCTCACTGGTTAAGACGCTGGGCTTGTCAGCTTAAAAGCCAGCAGCCCATGTTCGAAACCTTAGTCCCAAGCAAAGGGATGAGTTCCCATCCTCGCTCCAGCTTCTGCCAACCTAGCAATTCAGAAGCATGCAATTGCGAGAAGATAAATAGGTACCACTTTGGTGGGAAGGTAACAGAGCTCTGTGACGTCACCTCATCGCGGAAACGTTTTCGGATATCGCTGGCTCAATGGCCTTCAAACAGATGTGAACATTACCGCATAAAGTTGGCTAAGTGGAGTAAATTCTAAAGAGTCTCCTTTTTACCTTGCCCTTGAGCAGGGGTTGGACTAGAAGACCTCCAGGGTCCCTTCCAACTGTGTTATTCTGACAGCCCTAGGCCATTAGAGTTACAGTTTTCTTTACATGCTCTGCGTTCATTGGCAAATGTGTTTTAATAGCACTTCAAAAAAAAAAATATCTTTGAATAGAGGCCTCAAAATAAAGAAAGGGGATAAGATTGCAGAATTGAGAATGCCAGGCTGCCTTTTCCTTTTGGCAAGTCTGGGATACTTTTTCCTATAAAACATGGTCTGGGGAATTACCAGCATATGGTGGGACTTCCATCCAATGTGCAAAGTCAAGGAGATGTTATTTGCAAATGGATAATGGGAAATTAGCTGGATCTCTAGGGTGGGAGCAGGGGAAAGTCCCTTGCACGGGTGTTTAATTTTTTATTTTCCTTAGTAATTTACATGCAGCCTGCTGCCCGAGTGGCTCCAGGCTGCTTCCAGCGTGAAAAGCTATCAGATACAAGCAGGGGGTTTGCAGTAAAGGAGGTTGAATAATAGTCCAGGATTTAGGTAAATAAATCTCTTCTGAGCCTCTTTGTAAGCTGTAATAAGGAACAGGTTAATTTAAACTGGCCAACACGGGAAGCAGGCTTCAACATCAATAACTAGTTTTTCTTTCCATGTTTCTGTGTCTGTGCGTGTGTCCGTATGTGTGTTGGGGGGTGGGTGAGGATAAGTGTAAGGGGCACACAAGAGGGATAGTGAGCAAAGACTGCAGAAGGGTAAAAGATATGCAACTTATCAGTTCTTTTTCATCCGATGATCTGCCTCTGTCAATGCCTGGCCTTTTTTTTGTCCAAGTACATATTTAAAACAAGATTGGATAATCTTTCCCTCCACCCCAAGTCTGTGCAAACTTGTGTCTTTCAATCCACTCAAAACAGGATGGTACACAGGGCATTAGGAGATGCTCCATGTATTTCTACATGGTTTCTATGCCCGCTTAAGGATCATACGTCTATGATGCTTAAGCTTTTAGTGTTTTTTTTAAAAAATAGACTGCTTTAAGAGGTGTGGACTTCAATTCCCAGAATTCCTCAGCCAGCCATGATAGAGTTAACCTGGAAATAAGGAGAAACTTTCTGACAGTGAGAACAATCAACCTATGGAACAGAAGTTGCCCTCGGAAGTTGTGGGAGCGCCATCACTTGAGACCTTCAAGAAGAGATTGGACTCCCACCTGTCAGAAATGGTGTAGGGTCTCCCACTTGGGCGGGGGGTTGGACTAGATGACCTACAAGGTCCCTTCCAACTCTGATTATCTGTCACATCTGAGTTTCTAAGGCAGACTGCCAGACCCATTGGTCCAGGGACAGTAAGAAGCAAGAAGGTGAAACTCAAAGTTAACTCCATCTTCATTTCCTTTAGTATAAAATGAGACCGCGATAGACTTGGACTGGCTTTTGAAGAGTCTGTTAACCCTTGTTGGCTGGGGAATTCTGGGAGTTGAAGTCCACCCTTCTTAAAGTGACCAATTGTGAAAAACGCTGCTCTATTTGCTTCTGAGTCCTTCGAGGGAATTTTGGATTTTTGTGAGAGCCAGTGAAGGAGGCAACAGTGACTGTTGTGTGCCTTTGTGAAATCTAACGGAGAAGAGCAACTAAGACGATTAAAGGCCTGGAGACTAAAACATCTGAAAAACAGTTGCAGGATGTGGGTTTTTGGCTAGTCTAGAGAAAAGGAGGACTAGGGGATACATGATAGTATATTCCAGCGTTTGAGGGGCTGCCCCAAAGAAGAGAGGGCTCGACTTATTCCCCAAAGCACCAGAAGGCAAGACAAGAAGCAACAGATGGAAACTAATTCAAGGAGAGAAGCAACCTGGAATTAAGGAGGAACTTCCTAACGCTGAGGACAATTAATCAGAGGAACTGCTTGCCTGTCGAAGTTGTGGTTGCTCCATCACGGGAGGTTTTTAAGAAGAGACAGCCACTTATCTGAAATGGGGCAGGGGGAATCTCCTGATTGACAGAGATAGACTTCCAAGGTCCTTTCCAACCCTGATTTTGTGATAGATAAATAAGATACATGACAGACGGAAGGATGGATGGATGGGATAAGCTTTCCTTGAGAAATGGTGGGTGCTTCCTGACTGGAAGTTTTCAAGAAGAGAGCGGACAGCCGCTTGTCTGAAATTGTATAGGACCATGATGGTGAACCTGTGGCACACAGAGCCATTTCTGCGAGCACGGGAGCCCCAGCGAAAATGGCCTGCACTGCGCATGCGTGTGCCTCCTAGCTAATTTTTGGCCCGTTTGAGGCCTTTTTTTGCCTTCCCAGAGGCTCAAGGGAAGCCTCTGCAGGCACAGGAGGCCGAAAAATGGGCCTTCCGGAAATACCAGAAGTGCCGAAATGGGCTTGTTTTCATCCTAAGGCTCGGCCTCATCCGGGCTCCAGAGGCTGAAAACGGGCACCTCTGCAGAGTCTTAGCTTCCCGAGGCTGCAGAGTCTTCCCTTGAGCCTCCAGGAAGGTGAAAAAGGCCTCAAATGGGCCAAAAATTAGCTGGGAGGCGCACGCATGCGCAGTGCAGGTAAGGGAGCGAGGCGGGGTGTGGCGCGCGCATGCCGCAGGGGGGCGGGCCGCATTGCATTGTGAGTGCCGGCACACCACAACAAAAAGGTTTGCCATCACTGGTACAGGGTCTCTTGCTTGAGCAAGGGCTGGACTAGAAGATCTCCAAGGTCCCTTCCAATTCTATTCTATTAACACAATTTTTGCCTGTACGCAGACGGGACTATTGGAACAGCCACACAGGTCCTGCCCCGCGGCTACTGGTTTGACCTCTTGTATGCCACGGTCCTTCTGTTCCTGTGCCTTCTCGTCTGCCTTGTGGGTGCCGGCATCTACGCTAAGGCCACCTTCCTCATCTTCCTCATCGTCATGGCGGTGCTGGGCACTGTCTGCATCAGCTTCTTTATCGTGGGCGTCCGGGTCGTGGGGCTTCCCGCGACCACGGATGGCAACCACACCGAACTCGCCAATGCATCCTTCACGGGATTCAAACTCAGCACCCTCCTGGATAATCTGCATGGTGAGTTTGGGGGGGGGGGAGGGCTCTTCTGCATCCCTTGGCTCTGGCTTGAAGGCAGGGCTGTGCAACGGTCGCTAAACGAATGGTTATAAGTCGAGGACTACCTGTACAACCAGGGGTGGGATTCAAAAATCCCAGCAACCAGTTTGCTGCTGGTTTGCTGGGTGGGCGTGGCCATGGTGGGTGTGGCCTACTGGAACTTCCAGGAGGGCCGTTTTCCGCTTTCCCCAGACTCCGGAGGCTTCCCTCAGGCCTCTGGGAGGGTGAAAACGCCCTCCCCCAAGCTCTGGAGGCCCTCCGGAAGCCGGAAACAGTCCTGTTTCCGGACTTCTGGTACTTCCGGAAGGCCCGTTTTTCCCCCTCCCAGAGCCCCCGCACAGACCCTGCACTTACTCGCAATGAAAGTGGGCCGCGTGGAGATTCCTGGGAGGGGCGTGGCAGAGGGGGAAGGGCCAACCGGTTGGTTCAAATACCGGTTCGGCGAATCAGATGCAAATTGAACACCCAGTTCGCGCGGATGGTTCTGAAACAGTAGAATCCCACCCCTGCATGCGACCATTCGTTTAGTGGCCGTTGAAAGTTATGGCGGCCCCGAAAAAAGTGGCTTATGACCGTTTTCATACTTATGACCGTTGCATCATCCCCAGGGTCACATGATCAAAATCCAGCCGTTGGCATCTGGTTCATCTTTATGACGGTTGCATTGTCCTGGGGGGGTGACATGATTGTGCCTTGTCAACTTCCGACAAGCAAAGTCAATGGGGAAGCCTTATTCACTTAATGACGATGTTACTAACTTAACAACTGCAATGATTCACTTAATATAAGATCACACCTAGGGTACTGCATCCAGTTTTGGTCACCACATTATAAAAAAGAGGTTGAGACTCTAGAAAGAGTGCAGAGAAGAGCAACCAGGAGGATTAGGGGACTGGAGGCTAAAACATATAATGAATGGTTAGAGTATAGAAACTGGGCTTGGCTAGTCTAGGGAAGAGAAGGACCAGGGGAGACATGATAGCATCTTCCAATAGTTGAGGGGCTGCCACAGAGAGGAGGAGGAGGGGTTCAGGCTATTTTCTAAAGCACTTGAAGGCCAGACAAGGAATCATGGATGGAAACTGAACAAGGAGAGATTCAACCTGGAAATAAGGAGAAACTTTCTGACAGTGAGAACAATCAACCAATGGAACTGATGTTGCCCTCAGAAGTTGTGGGAGCTTCATCACTGGAAGCTTTCAAGAAGAGATTGGACTGTCATTTGTCAGAAATGGTGTAGGGTGGTGATGGAGAACCTATAGCACGCGTGCCACAGGTGGCACACAGAGCCATTTGTGCCAGCATGCGAGCTGCAGGCAAACTTACCTCACTGCACATGTGTGCACCTCACAGCTGATTTTCGGCTGGGTTTGAGGCCTTTTTTGGCCTCCCAGAGGCTTGAGGAAGGCTTCTGCAGGCTTTGCAGGCCAAAAACTAGCCCCATTTTGTCACTTCCAGTATTTTCGGAAAAACAGGAAGTGACAAAACGGGGCTAGTTTTCGGCCTGCAAAGCTTGCAGAAGCCTGCAGAAACCTTCCTCAAACCTTTGGGAGGCCGAAGAAGGCCTCAAACTGGCCGAAAATCAGCTGTGAGGCACAGTGCAGGTAAGGGAGCAGCGGGGTGGGTGGGTGATTGTATGTGAATGTGTAGCGGGCGTGTGGGGGTGCGCATTGCCTTCTGGGTGCTGGCACGCAAGCACGAGCGTCCAAGCGCGACCGTGCAAGCGCGTGCACAATTTTTGGCACAGGAGCCCAAAAAGGTTAGCCGCCACTGGTATATGGTTTCCTGCTTGGGTGGGGGGGGTTGGACTAGATGACCTAAGGTCCCTTCCAGCTCTGATTATCTATTATCTGTTATATTCGTGGCAAGAAAGGTTGTTAAATGGGGCAAAATTCACTTGAGAACTGACAATTCTCTTTTTGCAGCGGACTACAGCGTCGATTACACAACTGGCCGGCTGATGAGCTTCAGCACTGTCTTTGCCGTCATGTTTAACGGTTGCACAGGAATCATGGCTGGGTCAAACATGTCAGGTGCGTGGGAATCTCCCAGGCTGGGAGGGGAGGATGGGTAAGAGGGAAGGCCAAGGCAGGAGGGCCCCTCCTTTTCCCTGGGATGCTCTTTGAGCAACGTCTCGTCTCGTTCCAGGCGATCTCAAGCGGCCCAGCTATTCCATTCCTCGGGGCACCATCATGGCCGTGATGTTCACCTACATCGTGTACAATTTGTTGGCGGTTCTCCTGAGCTGCACCTGTGACAGGTAGGTAGGTGGTGGGCTGCCCACCAGGTGGCGCACCTATTCTACAGCAATCCTATGTGAGGAAGAAATCCTCTGGTCAAGGTTTCTCAAGCTCAGCAACTTTGAAGCGGCGCGGACTTCAACTCCCAGAATTCCCCAGCCAGCATGCGCTTCCACGCTTCTCAAAAGTTGCTGAGGTTGAAAAACCTTCCTTCCCTCCCTCGCTTTTCCTTGCTTGCTTGCTTGCTTCCTTCCCCCTTTTTCTTTCCTTCGTTCCTCCTTTTCTTCCTCCTTCCCCCTTTTTCTTTCCTTTCTTCCTCCCTCCATCCTTCCTTTTCTTCTCCCCTTTCCCTTCCTTCCTCCCTTCCTCCCTCCCCTTTCTTTCCTTCCTTCCTTCTTCCCTCCTTTTTCCTCCCTCTCTCTCTCTCCCTCCTGTCTTTCTTTCCTTTTCTTTCTTTTTCTTCCTTCCTTCACACTCACTCACCTTTTTTCCTTCTTTCCTTCCCCCTCCTCCTTTTTCTTTCCTTCCTCCCTCCCTCCCTCCTTCCTTCTTTCCTTCCTTTCTTCTGTCTATCTTTTTTCTTTCTTTCCTTTCTTTTTCTTCCTTCCTTCCTTCCTTCCTTCTTTTTCCTCCCTCCCTCCCTCTTTCCCTCTTTCTTTCCCTCCTTCTTTCTTTCTGTCTGTCTGTCTTTTTTCTTTCTTTCTTTCCTTTTCTTTCTTTTTCTTCCTTCCTTCCTTCTTCACACTCACCCACCTTTTTCCTTCCTTCTTCCTCTTTCTTTCTTTCTTTCTTTCTTTCTTTCTTTCTTTCTTTCTTCCTTCCTTCCTTCCTTCCTTCCTTCCTTCCTTCCTTCCTTCCTTCCTTCCTTCCTTTTCTTCCCCCCCTCCCTCTTTCTTTCCCTCTTTCTTTCCCTCCTTCTTTCTTTCTGTCTGTCTGTCTTTTTTCTTTCCTTTCCTTTTCTTTCTTTTTCTTCCTTCCTTCCTTCTTCACTCACCCACCTTTTTCCTTCCTTCCTCCTTTTCTTTCTTTCTTTCTTTCTTTCTTTCTTTCTTTCTTTCTTTCTTT